AGAAGAAGAAGAAGAAGAAGAAGAAGAAGAAGAAGAAAGAAGAAGAAGAAAAAGAAAAAAAATAGTAGGAGCAGTAGCAGCAGCAGCATTAGTAGTATAAGTAGTACTAATATTAACAGTAGTAGCAGTAGTAGTAGTAGTATTAGTAGTAGTATTAGTAGCAGTAGTAGCAGCAGCAGTAGTAGTAGTAGTAGTTGGAGCAGTAGTAGTAGTAGTAGTAGTAGTAGTAGTAGTAGTAGTAGTAGTAGTAGTAGTAGTAGTAGTAGGAGGAGGAGGAGTAGTAGTAATAGTAGTAGGAGTAGTAGGAGTAGGAGTAGTAGTAGGGGTATTAACAGTAGTAGTAGTAGTAGTAGTAGTAGTAGTAGTAGTAGTAGTAGTAGTAGTAGTAGGAGTAGTTGTAGTAATAGTAGGAGTAGTAGGAGTAGGAGTAGTAGTGGTCGTGGTCGTGTTCGTGGTAGAAGAAGAAGAAGACGAAAGGTAAAAAGTGAAGAAGTATACGGACAGAGAGACCGAGACTGCGAGACAGATTGACAGGCAGACAGAAGATGAACAATTTTAGAACCTCTGTCAACGGAAAAAAACACTTGTAATATATGAAGATAAACGTAGGCACTCTGACATGTAACAGTAATCAAAGAGAAACACGGAATGCTAATCCATCTGTATTTAGTCTAAGCCACAAGAAGTAGGTTACTCAGATCACAAGCCATTCTCTTTTAGCAGACAAGAGTTGAAAACTGGAAAATAGGTTGCACACTTGGAGCCTTACTTTTTGAAAACTTAAAACGAGAAGATAATATATTTTCATATGTGTACATTATCAGCGCTTATCAAAGTTTTTCACATTTCCTACCACTCAAGCACAAGATAGAACATGAACACGATGGAAAGATAACATAAGAGAAACTCTACAACAGCACAATATGTCTATCTTCGAGACGACTAGAAGATCAAGAAGTAAAACCTGATTTCTCTGTAGATACCTGGAGCCGTCAAAGAGGAATTGAAGTGAACGAAGAAGTAAAGGACCCAGTACCCACCTCTAGCGCATAGGGAATGTGATGCTGAACATGTTCATTGACCGACAAGCACCCAGTGGTTGATGCAGTCAACACTGCCTAGGCAAAGGCGTTTGAGTAATTAAAAAACAGCATCATTGTTATAGTTAGTCACCACCAATATCCACCACCGCCGTTAACCTAAGCGATATGGGAAGAACAGTTTGTGATCCCTTGCTGATGGGTAGTAATGGATTTTGTCATTACGGTGTAGAAGATCTTTAATATCTTCAATCATTTTTCTTTTAGAGAAACCTCATGCTGTCATATCATAGGTATTCGTTTGTAGCGCAAGTGTTGGTAGTTGTGGTGCATTTTAACGAGATGACCAAACCGTTTGATCTCCTGTTATTAACTAAAGACCTTATTTACACCCGTGGCGCATTAGACACATATGGCTAGACTTACTCGTTTATAGACGTTATGTGGTCAACATCAAGTCAGTCGATTTTAATTCAGGAACATTACTACATATCGGCTCTGTGGCTAAG